AATTCAAAAGTTATGTATCAACCCTCGCAACCTAGTCAGACATACGCTTATCGCAGTTTACAAAATATGACGAAATAATTAAATAACTGACATCAGGAAATATAATGTAAATAAATGATAGCTTACAGTCGAATTCCGGCGGCGAAAGATCTTTGGCTTCGGTGTTCGGCTGGAAAAATGTTTCTTGAATATAAATGTAGATATTTAAATCGCCGATGGTTTCTTTTGCATTTTTTTTTGGTTGTATTAGGTTTGCCAATTTTGGTGTTGACTAAAATTTAGAATTTCATATTATTTCTTTTTTTTTCTTATTTTTGGTTAAGTTCACTGAAATTTCGTTTGCCAACTAATTAAGCTGCGGGATTACATGTTTATCACTTTTTCTTTTTCTTTTTGTTTTTATTCTTTTTTCTCTTCACATTTACAACTTTTTTTTTTTTCACTTCTTGTCGTAATTTGATTTACCGATTTTTTTTGTCAGCAACATTTTACTCTTTTTCTTTGGCCATTATTTTAGTTGTTTTAACTTCTCTATACACACTAAAAAAAAGTAATTTAAAAGAAAAGAAAAATTAGAATTATTAAATTAAAGGTATTCCATAGTCATTACTGCTTCCGAACATGGGTTTACGACGAATATATATTCGGAAGCATCTGCAGTTTGGACTTCTTTGCTCTACTTTAGGTCTTCCTTCTCTTCATTCTCCTTTTTTGCGCTCTATTAATTGGCGGCCAGCTTACTCTTGAGCGGCAAAATTGAAAAAAAGATAAACACCGTGTGTATGCTGCGGAATTTTATTTGCGACTGACTCTTTATAAGTGAAGAAGGAACAAATTGATATACATATTTTGCTTACACCTAATTCGTTAAAGCGAGATAAATATAGGAGCTCCGCGATCTGTACTTATACATATACTGGCGTGCATTGCCTTATAAGGAAAATATACAGGGTCTTTATTTTCTACACCCTTCCTCAATGCAAGCATTCTACCAAAAAACTATTCAATACATATTTAACATCTCTGTAAATTTTACATGTTTCGTTTTCAAAAGGTTCTTAGTCAAAATGTCTGCTATCATTTCAGTTGTACATTTATATTTTAACAAAACTTGACCTTCCTTAACAATCTCTCTAACAAAATGATGACGTATGTCAATATGCTTGGTTCTGGAATGGTACACAGGATTCTTGGTTAACGCCTGTGCGCTCAGGTTATCTCCATAGACGACGATCGGTGTGTTGTCGTCTCCCCAGCCGATTTCCAAAATCAGCCTTCGCATGACTATCGCCTCCTTGAACGCCGCCGATAATGCCATGTACTCCCCTTCGGTACTGCTTAGCGCCACGCTTCGCTGCTTCTCCGAACGCCAAGAAATTGGACCACCAGCCAACATAAAGATGTATCCAGTGTAGGACTTCCTGTCTAGCTTGTCGCCTGCCCAATCCGCTTCCACATATCCACAGAACGGTTGACCACACTGCTGATAGTGTAATTTCCAGTCAACAGTCGACGAAAGATATCTCATGACATGCATTATGCCAGTCATGTGTTCAACATGAGGGTTTTGATTCCGCTGAGCCAACTTCGAAATGGAATGCAGTATGTCTGGCCTTGTTGTCAGTGCTAGCCACATAAGCTCTCCCACTACAGATTGATAAACTGTTGGATCAACTCTTTTGCACTGATCGCTCGTGCAATCTATTTGGAAACCTGCATCCAGAGGTGTCTTCGCCGACTTGCAATCTTCGTTGCCATGATTACGCAATAAGTCCTTGATGTATTGCGAATGTCCCAACGTAATCGCTCCAAGATCGCCTTCTCGTTCGATTTCCATACCCAAAAAATGGTTAAGAGGGCCCTTGTCAACGCATTCAAAAATTTGTGAAATGCTGCTCTTGATCTTCAGCAAATCCTCATGCGCTTGACAAGGTATAAGAATGTCGTCAACATATATAAGGATTAGTGAAAGGTTACCTTCGCCACTCTGTTTGTATAAACATGGTTCGTTGTCACAAAATTCTGTAGAACTCCATTCAGCTTTTCGTTCCAGGCCCTTCCTGACTGCTTCAAACCATATATTGCTTTCCTGAGCAACAGCACCTTATCAGGATTCTTCTCATCAAGATATCCTTCGGGCTGCTTCATGTAGACAGTCTCGTTGAGATCGCTGTTGAGGTACGCCGTGCATACATCCATTTGGAGAAGGTAAAGTTTGAGCTCCGCCGCTATTGTTAGTTGTCTGGCAATTCCGTGGTAGCTTAGACATTCGTCGAACTGCTTGTTGACAAATTCTCCACCATTATCGCTTCGCAGGCATTTGAGCTTTTTGCCTGTCTGCCGTTCAACCAGGCTCTTGAACTCGATAAACTTTGACAGCACCTCGTTCTTCCCACGCAGAAAATATACAAAAATCCTTCTGGATTTGTCGTCGATGAAGGTCAGAAAATACTTGGAACCTCCCAGAGACTGTGTCGGGAAAGGTCCACAAACATCTGCATGTATCAGTTCCAACAGCTCCTCAGCCCGATTACGTGTTGCCGTTGGGAAAGGCTGAACATGGATTTTGCTGACCATACACGTTTTGCAGGTGATACTTGCTGGCAGACAAATATTTTCAATACCGCGAACAATCCCTTTGTTTACCATTTCTTTCATGCTACAGAAATTAATGTGTCCGTACCTCTTGTGTAGCAAAGCACCATCAACGGCTACCATACCAAAACATTTACTTCGCCCACCGTCAAATAAATACAAATTACCAATCTTATTGGCTTTGACGATGCATTCTCCATCTTGTACAACCTGGGCTTTCTCTCTATCAAAGAACACCTTGCACCTGTTCTGCACAGCACTGCTCACGGACATAAAATTTCCGGTCATCTTTGGAACGTAGAGTACATTTTTTAGCGTCAAAATGACAGGGCTGTCTCTATTTTGACGTCACCTTTTCCTTCGGCTTGAAGGAAACCAGCATCGGCCAGTCCGATCTGTTCAGTGTGCTTCTTAAATTTTGTGAATAGCTTTTTTTCACAACACATATGGCTTGTCGCGCCACTGTCCAAGCACCACATTGAGTTTTTTAAGTTGTTGACGTCACAGGCATGCAGCAGGCTGCTTTGGCGGTTCACCATATTTTTTGATACCATACGTTGATTGCCGTCTTCACTACTCACAGCACGACACTGGGACTTTATGTGACCTTGCTCACCGCACTTAAAGCAAACGATATTTTTTCGCTTTTTCTTCCCATTCCCCTTTGTCTGCGAGTATTGTGGCTTCTGTGCTGCGATGAATGCCCTTGAATTATCCACTAGAGGTGGAGAATAATCGATGTTTGTGGACATCGATGTTTTCGATGTTTTTGGTGAAAAACATCGATGTTTAATCGATGTTTAACAAAATTTTTTTTTTTGTTATTATATTTTAATTTTATTAATATTTTTGTTTTTGTTAAGGAACAGAAGCTTATCGACGACTGATGTCGATAAGCGAGTGCGACGGTCCGAAATCATTTGGCCTGCCTTGCTAAAGAGGCGTTCAGACTCGCATGAGGATGCTGGAATACAAAGGAACTTTTTCGAGATCTTTTTAAATGGTTCATCAGTTGACATCTGAAATAAGATATTTTGTTTAATTGAATATTTGAAGAACAAATGACTTAGCATATAAAGTTTTACCTCCCAATACGCCAACGGATCGCACTTTTCCGGTTGGTTCCCTTTCTCTAGATGTTGGCGTAAGAGTATAATGGAATCCGCCCGAAGTGATTGAACTGTTGTCTCCATTTTAGTTTTGAGGAATGAGAACCGTGTAGGTTCCTCTGTTGGTGGTGCTGGCTGCGGTCGTGGAGTTGTTGTCATAACGGAGTTCAGCTCTTCCTGCAAAGCCTTGGCCGCTTCCTCCGAGTTCGATTGGGCAAGGAACCCTTGCTTCTTGAATCGCGGATCGAGAATTGTTGCGATACGAGGAATCGTTCTAGTTTCATATGCAAACAATCTTTCCCTTAGACGAATCTTCATGTAATCTGCGGCAGCGATTCCTTCAATTGTTTTGAAATCGAATCCATTAACTTTGTGGAAAAGTTCACAAATTACAGGAATGATCAACGAAATTGAGACATTGGTGTTCGTCGAAACCGACAAGGTTGCATCCGCGCATGGAGCAAGCAATATCGAAATCTCTTTTAAAACGTCAATTTCTTCGGCAGACAACGGTGAAGGGGCATTGTGAGATACAGCCAATACTACACTAATATATTCGTTTGTCAGAATTACTCGCTTGATCATTTCGTATGCGCTATACCAGCGCGTCGGCATTTCTTGAACCAGGCCATATGGAGTTTCTGTTTTTTGTGCTGCTTTGAATTTTGCATACGCAGTCGAGCTTCTTTTAAAAAACGATACAACAGTCTTGCATTTGCTTAGAATTTCCTCTAATATTGGCTGTTTTAATATGTCCTGGACCAGCAGGTTAATAGTGTGGGCCACACACGGCAAGTGTTTGTATTTTAATGAAACGCACGCCTTTTACATGGAAGCGTCGTTATCAGACACAAGACATACAACTTTTTGCGCTATCGCCCAGTCATCTAGCACCGATTTGTTGGCGTTAGAAGATGTTGTGTTGATAAAATTGCCGATTCCAATTTGAAATTATTGGATATGAAATGGCATGTAATGGTTATGTAGCCCTCGTTGGCTCGAGATGTCCACAAATCAGTTGTTAGTGCCAGATGATCAACACTGTTTAGAATTCCTCTCAGCGTTTCTTTGCATTTTTCGTACTCTCTTGGCAAACAAACATCCCGCAAGTATGTTCTACTTGGCAATTTGTATCGAGGATCCATCTTTTTAAGAAGGGCACTAAAACCTTCATCCTCGACACAACTGAATGGCTGAACGTCGACAGCTATCATATTCAGTACCATCTCGTCAAGTTTGCGTTTCCTCGCCGAATCATTTGTATAAAAAACCGTGCCCCTTCCCACAAACACATCCAACGCGGTTGTAGGATTTTTGCCCTTGATATTTTTTATGCGTTCTGGGTGGACGTGATTCAGGTGGTTGAGCAAGTTTGTTGTGTTTCCCAATGTGCGTATCGCTTTCCCACAATACTTACACACACCGTGTGTTTTCTCAGCCGTTTTGTTGAAATGATCCCACGCAATGGAAGCTTCACGCTTCTTTTTTTGAGCTGGCTCCTCCACATTCTCCTCTGAATTTGATGTTCCTAAAAAAGTAATATTTTCATATAAATATCATATAAAATATTATATACATATCATATATCAAATGTACATGTCATGCGGTTGCATGCAAGCAGGCGTACATACATACATATGTATGTATGTATGTATATGTACATTTGTAGATGCACACATATTTCACCAGCTTTTATATTAACATTACTTACGTTTCAGGTATCTGTCCATGACCGTCCACTCCACAACTTCATCCAGCACCACCAACAGAACACTAATATAAAACAAAATATGAGTAATTTATAAAAAATAAATGAATACAAATTTACTTACAATTACACGTTTTCTTCCTCAGATGCGCAGTTAGAGATGGAAAACATCGATGTTTGGCTTACCGATGTTTTGAAAACATCGATTACATCGATGTTAACATCGATTTTTCTCCACCTCTATTATCCACTCGCTCTTCTGCTACTCCTTTTCTTTCGCTCTCTTCCTTCAACTTAATGGTGAGAACTTCAAACGAAGGCAACATGTCTCGTGTTTCCATTGCCACCACGAAATGCTCAAACTGCTCTGGAAGACTCGACAGCAAAACGATAGTTCGTAGTTCATCGTTTAGCTCTATTCCAACTCCAGCTAGGCCATCCAGAATTTCTGCAAATTCGCTTATATAGGTAGACATGCTCTGCCCCTGCTCCATCCGTTTGTTGAGTAGTTTTTTGTACAACTGTACCTTCCGTACAGGTCCGCTTGGCTGATGTACCTCCTTTAGCTTCGTCCATGCCTCCACCGCAGTCGAACAATTCTTGATGTAGGCCAATTGAGATGTCTTTACACTCAATGTAATTGTTGCAAGCGCCTTATTGTCCAAGGCCAGCCAATTCACTCCCTCTGGAATATTCGATTCTGTTAGTTCTCCAGAAGTAACACTCCACAGACCGGAATGCACCAACACAGATCTCATCTGTATTTTCCAAGTGTCATAGTTCTTCTCCTCTAACTTTTCGATTTGATAAAGAGACTCATTGTTCTTAATCCTGAGTCACACACCGCACAATTATCTTTAAAACGTCTTTAATTACATTTATGCCTGGGCCCATAACCTCTTGAGCGGCAAAATTGAAAAAAAGATAAACACCGTGTGTATGCTGCGGAATTTTATTTGCGACTGACTCTTTATAAGTGAAGAAGGAACAAATTGATATACATATTTTGCCTACACCTAATTCGTTAAAGCGAGATAAATATAGGAGCTCCGCGATCTGTACTTATACATATACTGGCGTGCATTGCCTTATAAGGAAAATATACAGGGTCTTTATTTTCTACACTTACTTGGTGGTGGAGATATGGAAAAATTTGGAGCTTTTAAATATGTGACTGCTATCCAGGTGCCAAGCTAAGCGATATAAAGAAATCGCCGAACAAAAAGAAAACCAATAATAACTTTCTACTTTTCAAGACTATTCTAGCCATATTTACCCTGTATTCAGGCTTGGCACCCAGTATTTTTATACCCTTGCAGAGGGTATTATAATTTTGGTCAGAAGTTTGTAACGCAGTGAAGGAGACGTTTCCGACCCCATAAAGTATATATATTCTTGATCAGGATCAATAGGGGAGTCGATATAGCCATGTCCGTCTGTCCGTCTGTCCGTCTGTCCGTCTGTTTCAATACCGTTTGTGAGCTCAGTTTAAAAGCTAGCGATCTGAAACTTTCACACGCGACCTAAAACATGTGTACGCAGATCAAGTTTGAAAATCGCCCCGATCGGACGTCTATATCCTATAGCTCCCATAGGAACAATCGGATATATCTAGCAAAAATTGATGATATTTCGCGCAGTGTAAAAGCTATTGACATGAATTTTTCCAAATCGTATTTTTTTATGCATACCTTGATCAGGGTAAAAGCGCGTGGCAATCGGACGTCTATATCCTATAGCTCCCATAGGAAAAATAGGGTAAAATCGGTCCAAATTTTATGTTTTTCAGAATATTTCGCGCTGTGTAAAAGCTATTGCTATACATTTTTTCAAATCGTATTTTTTTATACATTCCTTCATCAAGGTGAAAGCGCGTGCTGATCGGACGTCTATATCCTATAGCTCCCATAGGAACAATCGGATATAACTTTCAAGAATGGAAAATATTTTGTGCAGTGTAAAAGCTATTAACATAAATCTTTCCAAATCTTATTTTTTTATGCATACCTTGATCAGGGTAAAAGCGCTTGGCGATCGGACGTCTATATCCTATAGCTCCCATAGGAACAATAGGGTGAAATCGGTTAAAATTTAATGATTTTTAGGATATTTCGCACAGTATATAAGCAATTGACATGAATCTTTCCAAATCGTATTTTTTTATGCATACCTTGATTATGATAAAAGCACGTGACGATCGGACGTCTATATCCTACAGCTCCCATAGGAACAACAGGGTGAAATAGGTCCAAATTTGATGATTTTCTGAATTTTTCGCGTAGTGTGTAAGCTACTGACATAAATTTTTCCAAGTCTTATTTATTTACGCATATCTTGATTAGGGTAAAAGCGCTTGCCGATCGGACGTCTATTTCTTATAGCTTCCGTAGGAAAAATAGTTAAAGGCTGCGAAAGTATCCCTATTTTTCTATTTTTATATGACATTTTTGCAGTATAAAAGCAATTGACATTAAACGATGAAAATCTAGTTTATTTATGTATACCTTATTCCTTTGGCTACTTTTTCAGTTTTAGCAATTTCGGCAAAGTCTGCAAGGGTATTAAAACTTCGGCTTGCCGAAGTTAGCTTCCGTCCTCGTTTTTTTTTCTATTCCACTGACACAGAAAATATGAAAATTCTCTCGGATGGTTTTTCTCGACGAATATATTTTATTGCTATTGAAATTAAATACATAATCGAATTAGTTTTTTTGTTTGTGGTTCACTCACGAAAAATACTCACTAAGACTTAATTTGGTATTGGTTGGACTGAGTTACTGCTCAAACTAAATTTAAGCTTACTCGCTGCAGACAACTGATCCGGATGGCGGTCGAAGTGGAAAAGAATGTGCTGGGCGCATTGCCTTGGGAAGTTGCCCTAGAACGGATATATAGGTTTGTCAAGGTTGACACTGTTTACGCCGCTCTCCCCTCGTTTAAACTGCCCGCGCTTCCCTCGTAGCGAATGCCCACTCGCCCGCACTGGCCAGGCTCTCCCGCTCTCCCGCACTGGACGCTTGCGATTCCAGACTCTCCCGCCTTCCCGCTCCCGGAATCTCTCCACTGCGCTTTGAAACGCAGCGTTCAATTAGGTTTAAGTTAGTCTTTCATTGTACCACTAGTGAAATACATCGCCCGGCCGGTCCGCGCTATAACCCGAAAAGTTCACCGAGTTTTTTGTTTCATTACTTTGCGCACCGCGATCGAGTGTCTCTTCACCACGTATTTTCCAGCTTGCGACCCGGCTACGTGCGACAGCCGCAACCACCGACGAAGCTGCCCCCAAGCGACGACATCCCCGACGCCCCAACTCTTCATTTTTTGATCCATTCGAGCCAGATAAGTGCCAATTAATTAATTTTTGTATTAACTGCCGATCGACAGTCAGCCATTCGAAGAACATAATTCGTTTGACTTTCTGTACGATTTGTCTAAAATCCAAGTCCGATTTAATCCGACGACGGCAGTTAGTAAATTACAATTCCAATTCCGTCTTTTATTTCTTCGTTCTCTTTTAACGTGCGGCCATATTGCCTATTTTCTAATTCCTTTTCGTGTGCATATTGATGTACAAGTTTCATATTCGCATTTGGCCGTACATCCACTAAATATACATCCAACATCAAATCGAAGAAAAATAAAAAGTAGAAATCCAAATTAAAGTGTGCAAATAAAAAGTCAAGCGTACAGTGAAAAAAATTAATTTCAAAAAATTCAGTGAACAGTGAAAAAAATAAATCAATTTAAAAATTGAGTTCAAATTAATTTTCCACAAAAAAGTGAAACAAAAAATTAAGTGTTCCGCCAATTTCGGCCCACAAATATTTTTTTGATATTAATTTTTTATTGTACATCCGCTGTGACAATATTTGCTTACATTATTACAAATCCAAATACAGTCCACAATAAATCGAAAATTTACAACACATACCCGCCGGCAAAATTTACAATAAAATTTTCCGCCATATTGATTACATATATTACATCCATATTACATATATTACATCCATATTACATATATTACATCCATATTACATATATTACATATTCCATATATATATACATACATTTATACATATTTTCTCTACACAACTACACCCCAATTCCGAAAGCTCAAGTATTTCCGTCGGCCATCCAATAAATATATATAAAACGAATTCCTAAAGCTGACGTGAAATAACTTTTGTGTCTCAGTGTGTTTTACTTATTTACATATTTTGGGCACTATCCATCCATACATCTACACATACACGCGAATTGCAGTACCGCAAAAAGCTCGATAATCCCGCGCATTCCAGCGTCACCAATACACAGCCCGCAAAAGTTCGGGCAGTTGTTTTTCAATCATCCAATTAATAAATTAATTAATAAATTCCAACAAAATTAATAAACACCAAGTTCAACTCCAATAAAATTAAACAAATACTGAGAATTACTGCCAGTTCCAAAAAAGAAAAAAAAAGAAAGAAAAATATAAAATACTGTCGCCATCGCGGAACTAGTGGAATCAATTTATTAATTTATTGATTTATTAATTTGTTTCTTCGGTTTCACATTTTTTTTTTTTCTCAAAAAAAAAAACGCCCTTTCCAGTATTTTGTCTTCTTATTTATTGAGCTTGGTAAATCTGCAGATACATCGATACTCAATTTTTTCTTTTGGGGATAAAAAAGAAAAATTCGAAAAAAATACCACCCGCATACCACTGAAAGGTATTATTTTTGTTTTTTTTGTCTCCGAATATTTTTTTAAAATAAAGAAAAACAAAACCAATAAACTCCAAACACTGCCGGGGACATCCAATCCCATCCTAATTCGGCCAACCACCCACAATAAAAAATACTAAACGACAAATACCTCATCCAATCCAGTATTTTTTCAGTATTTTTATTTTGTGGTATTTTTTTTTGGTATTTTTTTCCATTCTTGCTCCATCGTTCCACCAAAAGCCTGGCGAATATTTCAACAATAATTCAGCCACGCATATCGACTATTTTTTGAGCTAGTCGATATCCTATTTCCACCGGTCCATAAGTGGGTCCGTAATTGTTTCTCTGATTTTTGTCCGAAACATCAGCGCGCACATTCCATCCTAACAGCATCCTAGTTTGGTATGTCCGGGGAAAGTTCCAACAAACTATCCCCTGTTCCATCACCGAAA